TAAACACAGGCACGAATGTTCCAGCAAAGCCAACCGACAGCAGGTCAACAGGAGTCCACCTGCTAATTGCTTCACCACACTCCCCTCTACTCAAAATGGAAGGGATCTCAACAGTCAAAGTTGCGCGACGACCCATTTCATCGTCATGCCACCGCGCGAACAACTTTCCACCCCTCGAGACTAGCGTGTAAAGATGCCATTTTACCTCTCCATGGCCAGCATCTGCTGCTTCTGATGCTGGTAATGGTACATCTGAGCCGAGTGGGCCAGCTTTCTGTCGCCGGCTATGTTAGCAGCAGTCGTTTCGCCCAGCAGGCTCGTCGGGGGACTCTTGGCTCGGCCGCCGCCACGTCTCCAGCGCAAACCGCCGCCAAGCGTCTCGAAGTTGGCCACTCCCCTGCCGGACAGACGTCTCCTGTGGACAGACGAATGGAAGGTATGTAGACAGGTTTTGGGGGTAGATAAAGTCAAAAAAAGAGCTGGAAGTAAGCGGTTGAGAGTGGACGCATAGTTAGTGGGTTTCGGGTCAATTGGTACATCTTGGTTGGTGTCAGTTGTGGTGCAAGAGCTGTTCGAGACTATCACTATTTCCTCAACTTATTCAACTCGTAGAAAGTGAGAATTACTGGATTTTTATGAATCTCTTAAAATCACATTATTGGAGAGAATTTCGTTTAGTATTCAAGTAAATGATGAAGAGATTTCAAGTTCGATATGACTAGAAGACGACAGTTGATTCGCATTGTACTTCAGCCGATTGGCTTTAATACGACACTCTCGTTTCGGGCAAAAACGGACTGAGATTTCGTCCATCAACTGAAGCACATCATCAGAGCTTGAGCTCATCCTTGTAAAAGTCTCAAGTTAACACCAGGCCAAGAAGACTGACTGGCTCTGTCCTAAAGTATATATATGTATGTATGTATGTAAGTATGTATGTATATATGGCCTGGTGGTGAAGGACTGGTAGTAGAATTTTACCACTCATATCATTGTGGGAAGATTATATTACCAGTCCTTCACCGATAAAACAAAAAAATATGAGTTACATTCACCCTATTTTGCTTAAAGGAATGAAGGACTGGTAATATAATCTTCCCACAATGATATGAGTGGTAAAATTCTAATACCAGTCCTTCATCACCTTAAACGGAATAGGCTGAATACATTTCATATAAGTATTCTTGACTAAGATGTTCGAAACCTACTTTATATGCATATAAGTAGTTATAACTTAACTTTTAACCGGTGCTGCTGACATGTAATGTTTTACCCATTCCTTTACTTTTTATAGCTTTCGTAATTTTTTGCTTATTTTGGGACCATTCTGTCTAATCCAGTTCCTATCGTGTGTTCTGCAATCCTTGATTTGTATTTAAGTAGAATATCGAGACTACAAGTAAATCAGTGTAATGAGATGTATTAACCCAATTTCGTTTAAGATAATTAAGGACCGGTAGTCGAATTTTCCCACAATAATATGAGTAGAGCTGATGTTTCCATTGAAATTCACATAGCCTTGCTTTCCCAAAAGTTGTTCTTATTCAGGCACCAGTGGACTGCAGTTTCGACCTCTCATCGGTCTTGTCAACACTTCAAGATAAAGGTAAATAGTTATAGAATGACTTGGATAATCGTCTATCAATCGTCACTGATCATGACCAATATGAAGATGAATTTTCCCAATCATTCTGTATCTAGCCATTTATGTTTTTACATTAA